ATGGATTATACAAGTGAACCCGTTCAAGATCTGGTCAATGATTCAACTGTTGAAAGCGTATTTGGTCCTGTTGTGATTTTCGTGCCATGCGTTTTTGGTGCAATTGGTGTAATCGCAAACTTGTCAATGATCTTTGCCGTCCTTTGTAACATTCAACTACGAAACATTACCAATATAATGATAGTGAATGCGGCAGTAGGGGACATCATGGCCATTCTAATAATGCTACCAACTAATGCATATGTATTATTACATTCAGTGTGGCCGTTTGGGGACTTTCTCTGTAAGCTTAGTAACATGGTAAACATGTATTCGTTAACCACGTCAGCCTACTCATTTTGCGCATTAAGCACTGACAGATATATGGCAGTAGCAAGGCCTTTAACATACCGAACACATCGTAATCGTCGAATTACTTTCTGCATAGTCGCTATCGACTTGATCGGATTGATATCCGTCATCCCAACCTACTTCTTAGCTTACGAACGGTCAAATGTGTGCTTTTATCTCGACCATGGAACGCTAGTGGCAAAAATTCACGAAATTGTGTTATTCATATTTGTATATATTATCCCTTTGCTTATAATTAGTGTAAACTATATACGCATTGCAAGTGTCCTAATGCGAAGCATACGCCACCAGCTGTTCGAAGGTGATTCAAATGCCGCGGTTAAGCAACACGCTACGCGTGTGCGCCTCACGAAAACAGTTTTGCTGATAATCGTTCTCTACGGCTTGTGTATGCTTCCTTATTATTTAGCAAATATTGTGATTCAGTTTCTGAAGATCACAGCCCTAGAAGGGTTCTTTAAAACAATGTATTTTCCGAGTTCTATTTGCTATGTTCTGGCAACGCTTGTGAATCCTGTGATGATGTTTACACTCAGTAAGACATACAGAAGACACTTTATGAGGTGTCCATGTTTTAAAAGAACTGAAAGGCCTGTCACCGGGAGTAATATGATGACAGCAATAACGAGAAGGACTGCCGTTATTGATCACTAGATTTAAATGAAATATGAATTAAGTATTTTCTTTGACTATTTTATAAAGCAATTGACATTATGTCAAAACAATCCTTCCTGGATAATGTTTCAACTTACAATGGTTGTACATTCTAATGCGATATTGTAAGTCTGAGCATGTTGTAGATTTGAAACTATACGTATTCTATTAGAAGCAAGCTGATGCCTATCTAATATACTTATTAGTAGGCCCCTTCTCATTACCAAGTATGCTTACTGTGTTTTGTGAATTCATTTATGTTGTGAATGAAAATTGTCTAATGTGGACGGGCAGTAGGCCTACAGTAGCTCTGGTTCAAAGTAAATGGAAGCTATTAAATTTGTTGTCCATTTTGAAAGAATGTTTGCTAATGTACCAAGCAAAGAGCCACCAAAGATGGTCATAATATACAATGTACATGAAGATAATGCATATGTGCACCAATCACATTGATGCCTAAAATATATACGCCTATATTATGTAAATTATAATATTAAATATATACTGTACGCCTATTAAATGTGTATAATAATGATATGTGTATATAAATATGTTTATAAAGGAGTAACTTGTGAACCATTTTGTGGTAATGCTATGGGGATTCGAAGTTGGGCTTCTTCATTTGTGGCTTGGCCAATCAGCCTTTGGGGAGAATTCGGAATCGATTGGTAATAGCAACATCAATCACTCTCATTAATAAATACCGGCAACGGGTAAGTATAATTATATACAGTAACATATTTAGGTTATCATCTTGAAAAACATTTGTCCTAAGGGGGAAATTCAACGGAGTATACTAATGTGTACTGACACACAGATACGACAATTAAATTGTCCCTACAGCAACAATCCTTAAACCGATTACCAGCCAAGTTCAAAGTGTTTATTCAAAGAATAATGAAATGGTGTTTTTATACGTCTGGTTTTTTTTTAGGGGGGGGGGGGGGGGTTCGATTTTTGTTTAACGAGAATTCGCCCAAAAAAAGGTTAAGAGCCACTATGGCTGATGGGCTAGAAAAGAACCGCCCATTGGAGCAAAATGAAAGACTTCACAAACCAATGTAAGGTCATATACTAGAAAACAATCAGCAAAGTAAGTTCCACCCACAGAGAAATGTAGCGCGGGGAAAAGCTCTCAGCATAGCTTTTTGTTTTTCTTCTATGACAATCTTGAATTTGTGAGTCTTGAATGAGAACCGGGTTTCACGCATAAACAATAGGGGGAATCAAGTTAATCAGTTTGCACGCTGCATTTTTCTCCATTAGGAGAATGGTCCATAGCACCCGAGTTTTTGAGAAAAAAAAAATCGGGTAGTAATTCTCGCTGGTTTTTTGAAGAGCTTTGGGTTCTTAAATTTATTTATTGCCACTGAAGCCCATGAGATTACGTCCAGAAGTGAGTGATTGTAATGGGTTGCTTGTTTGCATTCCGATGGCTATATGGACCTATTAATAGGTCCGTAAATCAATATTTTCAAAAACGTAATAAAACAGATAGGGGAAATACATTTTTGGTTATGATTTTAAATTAATGGTAATATTCCGAACATATATAAATTGGGCTATGCAAAGTAATATAAATATTTGAATTATATTTTTAGGTTTTTTGGCTTTGAAACATATTGTATATTGTCGAATATTTCTACCGCCCTCTTGCGGCGGTATTGGTTTAAGCAAAGATCTTATAAACACAAGATAGCGTTCTCCGCGATTTACGCGT